ATTTCCCAGTAAGTGATGTCAAACATTATACTATTCCCATTCGACAGTGTTAAACATATATTCCAGTTGCCATACATATACTATTTGTTGTTAAATTACTACTGTCCAGCTAACTGGTACCATTCCTGTTATTTCTGCTAAAGACTAGCTGTCAAATTCTATTTTCCAGCCAACTGCTGTCATAGATATACTATTCCCACTCAACACTGTTAAAAATATTTTCCAGTTGCCATATCTTTTATCCAGCCAACTGTTAAAATACTATTTTCCAGCCAACTGCTGTCATAGATATACTATTCCCACTCAACACTGTTAAAAATATTTTCCAGTTGCCATATCTATACTATATCCAACAAAGACTGATAAAATACTACTGTCTAGCTAACTGGTACCATTCCTATATTATTTCTGCTAAACACTGTTAAAATACTATTTTCCAGCCAACTGCTGTCATAGATATACTATTCCCACTCAACACTGTTAAAAATATTTTCCAGTTTCCATATCTATACTATATCCAACAAAGACTGATAAAATACTACTGTCCAGCTAACTGGTACCATTCCTATATTATTTCTGCTAAACACTGTTAAAATACTATTTTCCAGCCAACTGCTGTCACACACACACTATACCCACTCAACACTGTTGAAAATATTATCAAGTTGCCATATACATACTATTTCCAATAAAGATTGTTAAATACTTAGCTGCCCAGCTAACTGGTACCATTTGCGTGTTATTCCCAATAAGCAGTTGCCATACATGTACTATTCCATTCCAAACTTTCAAAATACTACTGTCCAGCTAACTGGTTGCATTGCTCTGTTATTCCCAATGAACACTGTCAAAATCCTATTTTCCAGCCAAATGTGTCATACTTTTCCTACTCAACACTGTTAAAGATATTTTCTAGTTACATATACCATTTCCAATAACAACTGTTAAAATACTACTGTCCAGATAACTGGTACCATTCCTATGTTATTCCAAATAAACCTTGTTAAAATACGACCCCGGAAATCTGTAAATACTTAAGTCTAACCCAAGCAAACCAGTGGTTGATAAGATGAGCATCAATGACCATCATTAGTGTAAAATGACAGAGAATCAGCCAGGTCAAACACTGCAAGCACCTGATCCCTGAGCTCATTAGACAGCTTTTAACACAAACTTATGGTACAGGCACCTATTCGACCTCCAGTGTAAAGACTGTGGGCCGTAATACAACATATAGAAGCCCTAGATTTCTCTGTGCAGGAGACCCCTGTGACCTAGACTGTCTCAAGACCTTGAAAGATGAGCTCTTATTCACTTTGCTTCTTTCAACCGACAAAAGATTGATTTAGTTGATATTGGTTGCTAGACCATTGAGAAGAAGGGGACTTCTGAACACAATTCCACATGATTAAAGACAATATTCAGAATTGCTTGGAAAAAAGTCAAGTTTCACCAGAAAAACTTTCAGTGTTTAATTTTACTGAAGAAAACATGTTTGGGAGAGATAAAAGCAAAGCAAAAAGGAATAGTGCCTATCTTAAAAACACCTTGAAGGAGAAGCAAAACAGGTTCACAAGGAACTGCCCTGTGGGAATCTGACAGTCACATAGAGGTGACCTTGATACATTGTTTCCACAAAACTTGTAAATGCCAACCCACAGTCCTTGTGAAGAAGGGTGAGGAAGAGTGATGGTTTTAACTCCATGTTGCCAACAGCGATCATATAACACGGCCATGTGGGGAATCAAACCCAGGACTTCGGTGTGAAGAGTGAATACTTTATACAGAAGGCATCCTTTGCTCTGACATGGGCATAATGTCAGAAGCTGGAACAAACTTTGAGGCGAAAATGTCTTTTTTATAATGCTTAAAATAAAACAGGAGCAGAAAGGTGATCAGAAGCAAGAATGTTATATTTACAAGTCTTGCCAAACTTGCCACTTCCAGAGCAGACAGAAATGAGAGTTTGATTTATTATTATTATAGGATATTTATATAGCGCACATATCCAGGCAACTAGTGCTTGCTCAAGGCGCTGGTGATTCAACACCTGCTTGAACAGTATTTCAGCTATATCTAGGCATGCCAGCTTGATGGGGGAGGAAATCCCACAGAGATGAAAGTCCAGCAATATTCTAGCCATATGGTGGCCGTCTGTAAATAATCAAATCTGGACCAGACAATCCAGTGATCAACAGCATGAGCATCGATCTACGTAATTGGATATGATGATATGTATCAACCAAGTCAGCGAACCTGACCACTGATCCCGTTAGTCGCCTCTTACGACATGCATGGGTTGCTGAAAACAAATTCTAACCGATTCTTCACAGGTAGCCATTATATAGGGTGAAAGTCACCAGCATGGGGCTAGCGTTAACAATCTGTAAAGTAAACTTGACTCTAATGTACTGTGTGACCACTTTTGCACTTGCAATCTGTGGCTCAAGGTGCAAAAAAGGGCAAAAAGAACATTTGACTTGTAAAGTTAATTCTTCAGAGTGCTATAAAGATAATTAAAACATAAGTGCAGGCAGGTCATGGAAACAAAGAACGTATTCTTAAAATGCCAAGCCAGTGTTCAATAAAAGTAGAATTACGTGGCTCTTCAAACAGTCAAGCGATAAGATGTTGCCAAACCAAGAAACATCATCAGGACGAACCACAACAGAAGATAAACATCTGCCACAAGTAATTTGTCCCATCTTGAAAGGATCCTAAGGGTGAGTTAATTTTTTATTTAGTTTGCGCTATACAGGTCTTGCTGAAAAAAGAAGCATTTTTCTGTGACGTAATATCCCACCACCCATCCAGTTGGTGATGGTGCCTCAGCTGTCATTTCGCTGAAAATGGAATAACCCAGTGTCATATTTCAAGTCACGTCTGCACAATGCTGAGACGAAAACCTCAAAAGTAATTTGTCCCATCTTGAAAGGATTCTAAGGGTGAGTTAATTTTTTATTTAGTTTGCGCTATACAGGTCTTGCTGAAAAAAGAAGCATTTTTTCTGTGAAGTCACATCACACGACCACCCATCCAGTTGGTGATGGTGCCTCAGCTGTCATTTCGCCGAAAATGGAATAACCCAGTGTCATATTTCAAGTCACGTCTGCACAATGCCGACACGAAAACCTCAAAAGTGATTGGCTTCTTTCTTTTCCACTCACCTCCTTCCATCACGGACTCAGCATCAGTAACTGTGATGGAGCATTTTAACCCTCTTGAATTCTTATTGTAAACAGTTATGTATGCATGACATACGTTGTTATGATACACACATAAGTTTGGGACAAGATATGACATCTGCTTTCTTGTTTGTTTGTTTGTTTTTTTGTTGGATCAGCAACATTCCAGTAATATGACCACCCGAATCTGGTATCTGGTTAGTGGCCTGTTTAATAGATAGAGATTATTACACGAGAAAGTGTGTCATGTGACTTACACGAAAGGAGTGTGAAATTTTGTATTGCACGAGTTTCGTGTAAGTCGTGTGGCACACTTCCGAGTGTAATAATTTCTATATTATCCATTTTATTCATGTACATTGGTGCAGTAAAACAAGGTAAGCAAGTGTGACTGCCCTGTTCATTGACGTCACGTTCATTTGTTTAATGACGTCACAGAAACAATGGTAATATCACTTTTGCCTGTCAACCATTGTTTCATGATCAGTGTATGAAATAAGCCAAAAATCCAGCCAGACACCAGGGCTGGTAACTTCAAAATGTTACCAGCCCAAAATGGATTTAACCAGACCAAATATGGTGAATTTACTCAAATGTTCCATAAATCACATCTTGTCAAATAAAGTACATGTAGTAAAGTCAATAACATGTACGAACATACCAGTACATGCATCTGTCTGTCAAACGCTAGCAACCAATCACGAAACAGTTCTGATGTCATCCACGCATTTGCATTGTTCTTGTACCTAACATAAACTTCCGGTTTAAAGTCACTACCAAAACAACGGGTAAGGCTAGCCTTGCCAATCACAACTCAAAATTAACTCAGCATCACCTTGCTAATTACAGGTAGTTAATCCTCTCATGCTTCAAAGACTGCCGACTTCTTTTAGGTTAGGGCATATAAGGCCACTCGGTAAAATGCGTGTGTAAACATACTGACCGGTGCTCAGGCATCCGGATATACGAGAAAAAAATGCATATAATTTAGCTTTTTGTACGTGAAAATGACCGTCCGGTTACGGAAACCGGATTTCCGGATAAGTGAGTAATTTTACAACGTTGTGAATTCGTTTTAAGGAATTTTCGTTCGGAGGGTGAGTTTTCCAGATATCTGAGGTTCGGATAAACGGGGCTCGACTGTATATGACACTGGTTATGTTTCACCATATGGATAATAATGGCTTATAAGACATGACTAATAAGCATGTGAATGCATGTATGCATCTGGCAGGGAAAAATGTCTGGCTACTGTTTTTAAAAATACTTGCATGACTCAATGCTAACATCTGCTGATGGGATACAGGGCATGGATTTTGTGTGTTAATCATGTCATTTTGTATTGATCCTCTACATGCCTAGGGTAACATCAGAGAGAACCAGGCTGGATTTGGTCACAACATACCTGACCTGATTCTTATTCAACCATAACAATGGTATCATACTCTTTTCAAATACTAGTTAGCAATAATACTAAAACAAAAACTAAAAACAATACTGAAAAAAATAATACTATTTCCTCACTACTTATTACCACATACATTTTTGATAGACAAAATAATACATGTATAATTGTTATTGGGAATATAGTATTATTATTTTTACATCAATTTTTGTAAATAATGTGTATGGCAGCAGTTGTTGGGTAAATAGTTTTATAATTTTATAGTGTGGGCAAAACAGTATAATACCAAATGGGAAACTTATACACATATGATACCAGTTGGTGGGAAAATAGTATTATAGCTTAGTAATGTAGGAAAATGTCAAATGGGAAAGTAGTTTTTCCTGTAAAACATGACCATCAATACTCACTGTTTCATCAGTGCAGATAGCGGACAGCTGTGTACCAAACATTATTGCTGTGAAGATGCCAAACAAAAGGCCTTCAAATATCAGGAATATTAGTAAAATGGTAGTCGCTGGAGGAGACAGTCCAGAGCATCCTGAAAAAGAAACACAACATTGAGGATAGTGCTGAACAGTGGCTCAAGTCTGTGACCATAATACAGTCAACTGAGGTTAAAATCAGGGGTGGAAATAACCCATTGCCCGATGCCCGAGTCCAGTGTTTTTTTCTGTCGGGCAAGCAAATTTGTATATTACACTGTACCGGTGTCCAGTTGATATTCCAATGTTAATTATGTTGTTTATTTTAAAAAATCAACAAGAAAACGGTCGGTATAATGGAAAAATTATCAGGGCAAGTGATTTTACATGTGCCACTGTACCGGAGTACACTAGCAATTTTAAAGTTATTTCCAACCCTGTAAAATGTGAGTGGGTATGGTTTTACGACACTTTTAGCAATATTCCAAAAATATCATGGCGGGGGACACCAGAAATGGGTTACACACATTGAACTCAGGTAGGAATTGAACCCCGGCCTTCGGCGTGATGATTGAATGCTTTGGTCACTAGGCTCCCCTACAGAAATAACATATTCAAAGGGACCATCAAGTTTAGATCATTATAACCATAGTTGGTATTATGGATTTTGGCTAAAATATACAGGGCTTGGTCCAAACAACAGTTTGTTATATCTTCAGATCATTATATGTGTGTTTGTTATCAACATAGTTTGCTGTACTGTATATGACTGTAGAAAAGCCTCATAGTTGAATCGAGGTTCGAACTTGATACTTGAAATATGCATACAGGGTTCGAAATACCCCATATATTAGTGTGCCACGGCACAGTAAATATTGAAATGACACGGCTAAAAATGTTCTCGGTGCCCTTATGGCACGCCTAATTTTTAAGAGACATGACTCACCTTTAGTCATGTAATCCCCCAAACAATTATTTTTTTCCAAATTGAATAATACCATACATATTTACATTCTCATAAACCGATTTCTTTATTTAACAATAAATTTCAAATGATCATCATCATTGTAATTTATTCTAAATACATGTGGGCATACTCGATTTCTGAAAGACACACCTAAGATATTTGTCTGGTGCCCTAAGGCACACTTAGAAAAAAAAGTATTTCCATCCCTGGCATATAAATGATATGTTCAGTACATAATAGTGGCACATCCAGGATTTTGGAGAAATCATGAAGTCCAAAGGTTAGCGGCAAATGCTCCTCAGGGAAAATGTTTTCGGGGATGGGAGGGAGCAGCACACACCCACACCCCTCCTCTGGATCCGCCCCTGCTCACCAACCTACCTACATCTACTTGTCAGGATCAGTCATCAGAAACAGAATATCAACAAATCGATATTGAATTATTCATGTTAATCCTGTTGTTACAATATCTGGTAACAAAAAGTGTTCATTGTACATCTACACATATGTTCATAATCTATTTGCGGAGCCCATTTCTGGTGTCCCCTGCCGTGATGTTGCTGGAATTTTGCTAAAAGCGGCGTAAAAAACAAACTCAGTCAGTCAGTCATAATCTATTTTTTGAGGTTTTCTCAAAATTTCATTCAATGTTTCTACTACTATTGGTGAAACTGTGTGTCCCTCCGATACCTGCAACTTCCATTTACCCCATTCCATAGGGTCAGTTTACCACATTCTGTGACATTATTCACAGCAACCATAATCATATTACCACTACAGACACCCAGAATTAAACCTTGACAAAGAATGGATTCCATTTCATAAAAGACATACTTTGACTTGTACAGAGTAACCAGAAGTTACATGATATAGTTTTTTCACCAACAAAAATAGTTTGATGAAAGCGTAACCTCTAAATAGACCAACCCTTCCTACTGGATCATTTTACAGTAATCGAAAATAGGCTTTACTATTTCCCATGTGGTTAGACTGTGTGAAGCCTATTACTGGTGCCTTTCACCATGATAATGTTGGTATATTTTGAAACAAGTTCAAAATCCCCACAGACTCATTCTGGCATGCTCCTAAAGCTACAAGCAAGAATTACCAGGGCACTGTTCCTGGATGGTTGGGTTGTTGTTTCACGCCACACTCAGCAATATTCCAGCTATATGGCGGCAGTCTGTAAATAATCGAGTCTGGACCAGACAATCGAGTGATCAACAGCATGAGCATCATACTACGCAATTGGGATAGGATCACATGTGTCAAGCAAGTCAGCAAGCCTGACCACCCAACCCGTTAGTCACCTCTTACGACAAGCATGGGTTGCTGAAGACCAATTCCAACCTGGATCTTCACAGGTTACTGTTCCTGGAATCTCAACATCATAGATTGCAAAAGAAAGGGTGTAAATTGTTATATTTTACAACTAATGATAACGTTTTTCACAACTTCAATGTTATTTAAACAGCTTTATATCTATAATAATGATATTAATAATTATCATAGTTAACAAAACTTGAATAAAAACAAATCTTTGCCTCAAAAATGTACAAAATTCCAAACTAAAACTACTGTTCAACATCTTCCTACGCCGAATTACACGTCATCATTGCCATCCGAAATATCAGCTTCAGATTTCAGATGTCTAACATCTGATAGATTTGATCAAGTCAAGAAATAATTGGCGCAAGTGCACAAAACTGGAGCAAAAAATGCCCACAGATGATCGAAGCAGTGAAGTGCGTAACTCTGTCCAAATTAATCTTTATCACATTGCTTATCACAATCAATCCTGTCCGCATGTCAAGTTCACTTGCTGATACTTACGAGGAATCTGACATAACGAGCTATCAGTCATCTTGTCTTTATTATTGATAATCATTTAACAGATTTCTCGTAACCTTTTTTACCCTAAACACAAACTTTACATCGTCATATTTGCATCCGAGAGTAGGAAACGATATTCGGAGAACCTTTCATGTCCCAGTAAATAAATTCTGTTTTGCTTCTACTCTGGAGTTAAGGAATTACCAATGATTTGTTTGCTTAGAGTAATTTCTTTAAAACTCAGGCTATAATTGATATGAGATTGAAGAGGTGTCAAATGTATTTATGATTGGGATAATTAAATTTTCCGTCACTCTTTACTTAAAAATTAAGGAATATCATATTTTTTGCCATTTCTTAAACTTTTCCAGAGGCAATATCTAAAATTAGAATTTCTTATTTTTTCACACTTAACTGTCATATCAATTATACTTCAATCTGAGATTTGACAAACTAGCAAGAGAACCTTATGATCATTAATAGTGACTGAGTTCAGTTTTACGCCGCTTTTAGCAATATTCCAGCAGGGGGACACCAGAAATGGGCTTCACACATTGTACCCATGTGGGTAATCGAACCCGGTGGTCTTCAGTGTGACAACCACTAAGCTAGCCCACCATCCCAATGATCAACAATAACATATGCAGTGACATATACATTATAATTACAGGGTGTTTTATAAAAGTTAACGCTTTCACTTTTATTATTTCATGTTTTTTGTTTTGTTGTGTTTCCTCTGTTGCATTTTGTCTAATATGTATATTTTTATTTTTATTTTTTTTTTTTTGGGGGATAGGTGTTGGTTAAACAGGTTTTGATATCACGTTCAAGATAATTGCACTTGGCATATATTAGGGGAGGCAGGGTGATTAATGACCTGAGACCTTAGCGATCTTAGCGCTATGACCATTATAACTCTAGGTTAGGGTGTGGGAATTACGATCATATTAGATTGCTTTGTGCTTTTGGGTCCAGTCCAATATATAGTCAAGTGCATTCACACATTGTACCCATGCGGGAATCGAACCCCAGTTTTCAGCATGACAAGAAGACGCTTTAACCATAAGGCTACCCCAATGCCCCGAGTGTCTAGAAGGATACCATGAAGGGAGATCAGTCCATATTGGCACTCTTTATTTGGAATTATCACCAAAAATGCATGTAACATGGACACAGAGAAAAATTTCCCCACACTGGAGAAAAAGTTGCACTGTACACGACACGCACACGCACACGCACACACACACACACACACCTGTGTATGCAATCAATCGAATCTGAGGCATGACTGCTAAAAGCTCACCCACAAAGCTACCCCACTGACCTGATTTCTTTGTTTGTTGTTTAAAACCTCACTCAGTAATATTCAAGCTATATAAGAACTGTCTGTAAATAATTGAGTCTGGACACAGCAATCCAGTGATTGACATCATGAGCATCGATCTATGTATCTGGGACATGATGACATGCATCAGCCAGGTCAGTGAGCCTGACCACCAATCCCTTTAGTCGCTTCTGACACCAAGCAGCCCGGATTGAATTAGATTGTCAGCCTGAAGACAATGATAACCTACAGAACAACAGAATACGTCATCCAGCCCTTCGTGCCAGCTGTGTTATTTGATGAATGTTATTTGACAGACTCTACTTGGTGATGAATACCTTAAGTATAGAAAGCTATGAGCCAATACTATACGCATCCTCAGACCGAAACCCAATCTTCTCACACCACACGTACGACAATCAATGTAATAAGTGCTGCTGGGAATTTAATCACTGATTAGGGCACTTCTTGGCAAACGGTCTAGAATGGTTGGCGCGTAGCTATTATAACCAGCAGACCTCAGATCATAGTTCAGTCCAGACCTCTAGTCGTTTATCCCTTACCCTCACAGAGTGTTAACTGTAAACAGTGTGATATGATCACTATGATTACAATACTAATATTTAGTTGTTTAGCAGAGTAAGGTTTTTTGCTGCGTATAGCAATATTTCAGCAGTATCATCTCAAATGGGCTTCTGAAATAATTGGGTCTGGACCAGACAATCCAGTGATCAATATCATGAGCATTGATCTATACGATTGGGATACGATGACATGGGTCAACCAAGTCAGCAAGCCTTGACCACCCGATCCCATTACTTGCCTCTTACAACAAGCATGGGTTACTGAAGATCAATTCTAAGCCAGATCTTCATGGGTTCTGCAGTATACAATAGCTTTTAATGATATCTGCTGGAATGGTAATGATATCTGCTAGAATGGTAATGATATCTGCTGGAATGGTAATGATATCTGCTGGAATGGTAATGCGTTTACTGGAACTCAAACCTGTGTGCCGCCATATAGCTGGAATATTTCTGAGAGCAGCAAAAAACTAAACTCACCCACTCACCCAAACTTGTGTTGACAGTCCTATAACAATATTCTCTATATTCACAGATAAAAAGTGAACATTGATAGTCATTGATATTTATACTTTCTGCATTAATACTGAAGACAAGAAACTAACATCAGAGAAGTGTGAGTGAGTGAGTGAGTTTAGGTTTACATCCCATTTAGTAAAATCCAGCAATATCACGGCAGGGGACACCAGAAACGGGCTTCATGCATTGTACCCATGTGGGGAATCAAACCCGGCATGAATATTAGAGAAGACATTCACAGAGCCAAATATGAATTTGAGAGAATTGAAAATCATGATGATGAATTAGATGAGTCTGCAGAAACATTTGTCATAGATCTGGGTGAGCCAGAAAATACACCATGTTATGTTATGACTTATCATATAATCTTAGATAACAACTTACAGATGCTACATTCAAAATCATGAAACTGTCATCCACCTTACTTTGGGCATCATTTTACTTTGTCTTGCTCACAACAGTTACAAAACAGATGGAAATTAATATGAGAAAAGATTTTGTTTTCGTTCTGTGTAGGTGCCTAGTGATCTTACTACAGTTTTCTACATAGCAAAAGAATGACAACATTCTAGGTGATACATTTGTATTACCCTCTCCACACTCAAACAAATTAAACAAAATCAAGCCTTGTTTTAAAGTATTCACCTAAATTAGCTATTTGAGAAAAGCATTATCACAAATACTGAAATTATATATGTTCCATTATATTTGTTATAAGCATGATAAGCTGCACAAAAAGACAAGGACAGATATACCAACCTTGCCTCACACCAACACAACAGAAAATTAATGCCGTAATACAGATAAATAGTCAGTACTTAGAGAACACATAATGAAAATTATGAATTTCATTAGAGATTAGATGATTATGATTTCATCATCTTGATTAGAATTCATCATCTTCAACAATATGGTTAGAAAAAAGTGAACCAGAGATATAAACTGAACAAAGTGTCATTGAAATCTGATCATCTCTAATGTCATATCCCTCTGCAAGAAGACCTAAGGACGCCTTCATATTGGGTCTTATCTATCAAGGAATCTATAAGGGCTTAAGGTTACATTTGTGTTCTGCAAAGGGGCAAAGAAAAGAACATGAATCGTTTTGAAATCAGGTACCTGAGTGCCTCGAGAAATCACACATCCTAGATATATTCTGGGTTATGAAATTTCACTCTGGGTTAATCTGACACAGTCATCTGTTGATGCGTCATTAGATCTTCATCAAGAGTTATATCAGAGAAATGAATCTGAATTTTAATGCTACTGACATACACTACCAAGTTTTACACAAACACAACAGTAGGAAAAGTCATGGTTCCCATTAAGGTTAAGGCCAGAACCTTAATACTTTAAAGCACAGCCCGAGGAATCACTTGGCAATAATTACCTTGAAGGTCCATCTCTATTACATTTTGCCAACTGTCTACTCTCCATACAGAGATGAACACTTTTTCAAAATCTACAAAAGCACATAACAACATTTTACATGTCTGTAACAGCTAAATAGGATTATGGAACTAAGCCAATGAAGCAATACTCACTGTCTAGGGCTGATAAGGGAAAACAAGTGTTTGAGTGACAGCAGGAATAAACACTATGAAGCATTGGGGGAGTGAGTGAGCGAGTTTGGTTTTACGCCGCTTTTAGCAATATTCCAGCAATATCACGGCGGGGGACACCAGAAATGGGCTTCACACATTGTACTCATTTGGGGAACCAAACCCAGGTCTTCGGCGTGACAAGCAAACGCTGTAACCACAAGACTACCCCACCGCCCCTAAACACAATGAAGCAATGGGGGAGTAAGTGAGTGAGTTTACTTGCTCAGTTAGGCAGTACTTCTGGTATAATACTGATAAACCTAGGATCATAATCATTTCAAATCATGGATTCAAACCCATTATGTTTTTCAAGCCTCAATAGCATTGCCTTTGGCAACTGTTAGTTCAAGATAGCAGGAATAACCAAGATTATATAGGTGTTTCATTTTTTCTCTTCGGTAAAACTCAAAAGTATGATTTGAGTGGACAGACTAAGAATCATAATCAGGATGTATTTTGGATTTAAACCCCTGATTAAAGGATTCCAGCACTCTTACGTTATAAAGACAGTCAGTTGAGGCAGGTCAGACAACTGAGCCACCCCTGCCCTCACTAAGGGTCCGGTGGGGTATACTGGTCAGTGTTAAACAGCTAAAAGTGAGTGAGTATAGTTTTACGCCACTTTTAGCAATATTCCAGCAATATCACGGCGGGGGACACCAGAAATGGGCTTCACACATTGTACCCATGTGGGGATTCGAACCCGGGTCTTTGGCGTGACGAGCGGACGCTTTAACCACTAGGCTACCACACCGCCCAAACAGCTAAAAACCTATTGTATACATGTTGTTTCATGAAAGATTAATGTAAAAGAGTTCATAAAAATCTTCAAGGCTTCAATCAATACTTTAATGAGTATCGTCAATGAGTATAATATATTATAAAGTTTGTACATAACTAGAACTAATGAAACAACACACCAGCTGATGAGAGTTCGGTATTTTGTAAACAGGAATCACAGTAATGAAAAGAAAGCAGACCCAGCTGTTTCCCTCGCAGACTGATGATCTGCATTTGCACAGAGATGATTCTGCATTTTAGACTTTGGTCTGCGATGCTTTGACTGACATAGATGAAACTATACGAACCGAAGACCCCAAGTTTTACTGATTAATGACTTGTGACACCCACCCTGGTTCCCAACATCAGGATGGCCATCACCAGACTTAAAGGCAGCCTTAACCAATGCAGCATGGTTGGTCAGACTGCTGGACTGGTTTATGCATGTCACTGCATCCTAACAGCATTGATAGATGCTCATGATGTCAATCACTGGGTTGGCCGGACCAGACTCAAGTACTTACAGACTGGGCTTTACTGCATGTGGCAACGACTAACTAAAAGCTATAAAAAGGATCATTGGGAATAGGAGGATACAGAGTGAGTCTTTCCGGAAAATGTTTGGTGAAAAATGTGCAAGAAGATTGTGTAACTGACCTGGTGAGAGAGAGTGAGTGAGTAACCCTTCATGTTCCATTAGGATTCTTTTCAGGAATGGTTCACTGTCAGCCATGAGTCCTTGATCAAAGGGAAACTACTTAATGCTGGGTGAAGGTTGTTTTGCATTGCATGCTTCAATATCAGTACATTGCATCACACTGATCTGCATGTACATCATTGAGTCTGAATAGGACCAACCAGTGGTTGATATAATGAGCAACACTTACTAACATTGCTATCAAACTTTCCAAATGTTGCTGTTATACTGTGACCCATGAAGATCCAGGTTAGAATATTGATCTTCAGTAACATATGCTTGTAGTAAGAGGCGACTAACGGGATCGGGTGGTCAGACTCGCTGACTTGGCTGACACATATCATCGGTTCCCAATTGCACAGATGGATGCTCATGCTATTGATCACTGGATTGTCTGGTCCAGACTTGATTATTTACAGACCGCCACCATATAGCTGGAATATTGCTGGGTGCGGCGTAAAACAACAACCCAACCATCCAGGAACAGTATGCCCTGGTAATTCTTGCTTGTAGCTATAGGAGCACGCCAGAATGAGTCATTCACTCACTGTTATACTGTGAGAAACAAATGAAGGATCACAGGAAAATTCAAAATTAAATTAAATTTATTTTATTCATTTGATATTTTCCAGTTTTCATCATCAGCTTCAGTGGAAAATAATAAAGGAATTCATGAATTTTGATCCTTGATTTGTTTCTCTCAGTATATTACAGCCAGAAGACATAACAGCACCAAATAGTGCCAAGGGCCAAGACACTGTTGTTCACTAGCTCACAAAGTTTAAGTTTAGTAGAAAGGTGATTGCAAATTCTTAAGTAATACTGAACCGGAAAAAAACCTTCATCACCATTTCTATGTATGCCTCCAGCTGCCTTACTAAAAACGTTACATGCACTTGTGGTCTAACGACATTGATCCTCAATTTTAACCAATCACTTGCTTAGTTATTTCTATTTGAAACATGACACCTACCAACAAGTCTTACCAACACATGGGGTTGGTTCAACATACAAAGAAACCAGTTAACTAAAGCACAAATAACTAGGCCAGTGAAGGTCACTCAAAACCTTGCCACTTTTGTGGTGAGGTGAGGTGAAATTGGGATAAATGTTGTACTTGAGAATATTTCGCTCATATGACGACGTGCATACGTGTGTATGTGCGCCTGCTTGTACTAGCCCAGACTTAAGCTGGTTTTATAGTGCTAACTCACTGATGCTGTGCCGCAGTGAAGCATGAATACCCCACTCAGACACATTATACTGACTCCGAGCCGACCAGTCCTTGTTGTACCCATTAATGCTGAGCGCCAGTTTTTTAACGTCTTTTGGTATGATGCGGCCGGGGATCAAACCCGCGACCTTCCGCTCTCCGGGCGGACACTCTAACCACAACACCACAGAGGAGGTCTGCCACTTTAGTGCCTTCACCCTGACAATGGTACATCAAGGTTAATCTAACTTCAATAAAAACTTGCGTTCTTGTAAACAAAATGTCCTTTTTCTGTAAGACCCTGAGAGTGAATATTACCTTCAAGAAAACGTATTAACAGATTGTTTGAAATACTATAGTTAATCTATAATGGCAAAACAGATTAATAAAAGTACTTGGATGCTCTTCAACGGTTTTGAATATTATATGTACAGATAACAAATAAAAACAGGTGTGATTTGTCTTGAAACTGCTTTCCATAGTATTTCCGTAAATTTTAACGAGATCAGTTTAATATGGAAGAAAGTTGCCACCCTGAGACCAGTTAACCTATGAAAAGTGTAAGGTGAGGATGCATAACACTAGCATATCCTGGCCTGGGTAAGGGACACAACTCTGTACAACAAATGTTGCAGCACCTTAGAAAGTTGCCATCCTGATGCCAGTGAACCTATGAAAAGGGTTAGGTGATGATGAACAGGAGATCGTGGCCTGGCTAAGGTACACAACTCTGTACAACGAATATTGCAGTATGTTAGGGATATGTTTCTTGCCTGATGCCATATTCCAGCCATAAAACAAGACATCTTAATAATCAAGTCAACTGAACTGACAAGTGAGTGACTGAGTTTAGTTTTACGCCGCTTTTAGAAATATTCTTACAAATATCACAGCGGGGGATGCCAGAAATGGGCTTCACACATTGTACCCATGTGGGGAATCGAACCTGATTCTTCGGCGTGACGAGCAAACACTCCAACCACTAGGCTACCCCACTCGCCCCTCAACTGACAAGACAATCCAGTGATATCAAGATGCGTATGTAGGAAGGGATTTGGGAAGTTTTGGTTTTTCAAATAATTACACAAACAAACATATTTAGAGGGTTACACCGGATTTGAACATGATTGATAAACTAATACATACCTTTCCAGTCACTGCCCAGACAGCTGATGAAATGATTGATGGCTAGGTACAAGGCATGGATTGATATCAAACAAATATACAACTGAAACAAACAAGAAAATATAAATTAAACACATATCACAGCCCAGAGAAGCAATGACACAACTTGATCCAATAACGAAAAACAATCGAGTTATCACAAATCCTGACAACCACTGCACTGACTGGCACAAGGGGAATTACACGTGGAATCTATTAATTTAATTCATTAGACTTTTTATCCAAATCAAAGGGAGTCAAGGAGTTCTTGAGATTTGTTACTGTAATATTTGAATGTTGGGGACTTAACTTTCAATGTAGGGTTATTACAAGTTCTCTTTACTTCCATGCTAATACTGAACCTGCAGTGCGTTCAAAAAATGCAAACTCAGCACAAACTGGTTCATTTTTTAAATGGGATTAAGATAATGGAATGTAATAGTTACTCCATACAATTCAATTATTTCTTAACACCTCATGTGATTGCGATTCAATACGGTTTGTCACAATCAGGTTTACACTAAAATGTGACCTTTCTTTAAGAAGATCTGACGACCCCTACGTAGAGATCTCTTCAGGTCAGTTTTCTGAGCAGCAAATAAGCATCACGTCTCATTGCATAAGTTCATGGAATCTGCACTAAAGAGTATGTACTTTAGGGGGTATGTTTGTACTTTATACAGGTGTTCTAAGACAGACTGAAACAAGAGGTAAGGATATTGCAGCAGAATTTGTAATGATTGCTTGTTGGTTTGTTGTTTAACGCTGCACTCAGCAATATCCCAGCTATATGGCAGCAGTCCTTAAATAATCAAGTCTGGACCAGACAGTCCAGTGATCAACAGCATGAGCATCGATCTACGCAACTGGGATACGATGACATGAGTCAATCAAGTCGGCGAGCCTGACCACCCGATCCCGTTAGTTGCCTCATTCGACAAGCATTGGTTACTGAAGACCAATTCTTACCCGGATCTTCACGGGTCCAAAAATTTGTAATGAGGTGTGTCAAGGCTCGATTTAGTGCCTTGTTACTTGCACTTGTATTATTACAAAGTGCAATTTAGTTATTAGTCTAACTTGCACCAGGTGCAAGTCAATTTTTGGGTGGTAAACTTCTGAATAAAACATCTAAATAATTCAAAAGCATATTCTTTCATGTCATATTGTAGTAAAAGCAGTGCAACTGGAATTTGGCTGGTGCAACTAGGTTTTTATTGTAGGTTGCACCTGGTGCAAGTAGGTTAACATCTCTTAAATCGAGCCCTGTGTGTTATGAGACAACATTAAGATGTCAGTGTAACAATACTGCATTGTTAAGGCTATTTCAAATACATGAATACCACCATTCCGTAAAGTAGTTTCTGAGATATTTAATAAAGACATTTTAGTTTTGCAGCAGCATCAGCAATGACGATAAACATAACAAAGAGAGTGCAGACGACTGTGATTAAAAACTCACTATCATTATCTTTTACACAAAGTGAAAGAGGAAAACTTAATACTTAATCTAAATGTCATACTAAAACGAAAACCCCATTATACAAAGTTGAAAAAGTCGAAGTTTTTCAAAGTATGATTTTTTTCACCATTTAAATAAACTACGACATATATTATCTAAAGTTTCTGTCTGTGCTGCAATTTTGGTGAAGTCGAAATCCATAGACAGACAACACTGATGACGGATTGATGGAGGATGGACAGCGAGAAATGCCACAAGCTCACTTGAACCTTCAGACACGGGGAGCCAAGGAAGTTAGAGTACTGGCTAGCCAGCAGATCCTAGCGTAACATATCACTCAGGAGTCGCCATAAGGTATAGTGAGTGAGTAGGTGAGTTTTACACACTTAGCAATATTCCAGCAATATCATGGCAGGGGACACCAGAAATGGGCTTCACACATTGTACCCATGTGGGGAATCAAACCAAGGTCATCAGCGTGACGAGCAATCACTTTAACCACTAGGCTTCCCATCCAATAAGGTATATACTCACGGTAAAAAGTACGAAATATTTCTGATTGTTTTCGCCCACACAGTTGTTCACCCAAGGACAATGGTGGTCCATTTTGCGCACACATCGCTGACACACACTGAAACAAATACAAAAGAAAGAATGAATACAATTTGCAATTTACAGAATTCTCAGTGATGCCTCGAAAGTATTTCCTGGTCTGTCAGTTTAATGTTTAAAATTCAGATAAATTCCAGCTGGGCTGGTAAGTTAATAAAGTGACAGCCAGGTTAAAAAGTTCCAGTTAAGAAAAAGTTCCAATTCAATTTTTCCAGAATTCAACAGACACGCAGAACTGGCTATTAATTTAGATCATTGGGTTTGAAAATCATTGACTACATATTGATCAATTATCGATAAATATCAAAGAAGCAACTTTGAGTCGAAATGACAAAAAAGAAAGAAATCAACATATTTCACGTCACCAATGAGTGGTGCCACATGTATGCATGGATTTCAAACAAAAACTCACTCTGAACAATATTTAGAAGTGGCCCATGAATATTGATGTAACTGTGTGTTGTGAATGTAAATTAAACTTTAATTCATCGCAATAGTTTATGTAGGATATTACTGACGACACAATCTCAATCAGTAATCATTATTCAGGGATGACAATAGGTATGAGTGAAACAAGAGAAAAATAAACCAGGGGACGGGGGCGGCAGGTTTAGACGAATCACAAGAATGACTCCTGCTATCAAATCTGCAGAAAATTCTCATCCCTAATTATTAGCTCTTCCCATCCATGATATTACCGATAGTTGATCTTTTAAACCAGCCCTACAGATTTGTATCACAAAATTCAATAACCACCATACCCTGTGGAAAATTCAACAGTTTTCACCCTGCTTGATGTGACAGGCCACAGAATATAAATTGAACTGTTCAACAATCAAGAACATTATCTGCAGTATATTAATATCAGGTCATTATCCAAATGCAATATAAATTGATACCCTTTATCCTAAAAACTAATTTTGTTATCCTAACAACAAATTTCTAACCAAAAATATCAGTCACAAAATCAGCTCAAGTTTTAAAAGCTGACCATCCAGCTCAAAAACATCATCAAAACAGGGCCTTACGCGACGCAAATGTGTGTCCAGTATGCACAAATGTAGAGAATGGACGCAAATAAAAATTCACTGCGTCCAGAGGGGGACAAAATATTATTCACTGAACTGAACACATCTATGACTTTTTGTTTGGTTGTTTCTTTCAGAGCAGTTATGTACATCATTTCATCCATCAGTCCACATGATCAATGATTCATTCTAAAGAAATTATCAAAACAGAGTAATTTACACCAATACTTCACAGGACATTCATATTGCCTGCAAGGACTCCTAAAACTAATCATTAGGGGTCCCTGGGACCCCATGTTTGTGAGTCAAGGTAAAACCCTGCATCCCATCTGGGATCATCAGGCAGACGGGCATTTTAATTGCTGTTGAAATGCAAGCAAACCCCAAGCGACTAATGTGGATGAATAAGAGTATGGTGGAGAGACAAGGATTAAGTGAGATGAACTATGGGTCAAGATTATATCACTTATATTTCCACACACCTTACGTGTGTGAGGGTGTATCTTGTATTCCAGAAGTCAATACGTCTGACTGGGTCACAGTTATGCACAAAAATCTGAAGGCCAACCTGTGGGCATAGCTTTCTGTTATTTTCAGTGACATGCCTTGTCAGCAAAGAAATCATTTTCAGTGGGATATTTTGTGGTCACAGTAGTCGTTTATTTGTGAAAAGAGATGATTGTAGAGGATTGAGGGTTCAGGCTGGCTGACATAGCTGTCCCTGTATCCTGACAATGCTGACAGGGTGGGTGGTAGCTCTTAATATCAACCACTGGTTTAATTGCAAACCTTTACTATCTACAGGATGCATCAGAGTGTATCTACAGGATGCATCAGAGTGTATCTACAGGATGCATCAGAGTGTACCTACAGGATGCATCAGAGTGTATCTACAGGATACATCAGAGTGTATCTACAGGATGCATCAGAGTGTATCTACAGGATATCTACAGGATGCATCAGAGTGTATCTACAGGATGCATCAGAGTGTATCTACCGGATGCATCAGAGTGTATCTACAGGATGCATCAGAGTATATCTACAGGATACATCAGAGTGAATCACTTTAGTCTTACGCCACATTTAGCAATATTCCAGCAATATCACGGCGAGGGACACCAGAAATGGCTTTCATACACTGTACCCATGTGAGGGATTGAACCCGGATTTTCGAAGTGACAAGCAAACGTTTTAACCACTAGTCCACCGATGAGATGCCAACCCTCATTTAGCCAAATTAGTATTTCAGCCAAAAACTGATGCAAAAAATAGTATTTTTTTGCCAAAATTAGTATTAACTTTTCCAAGGAATGTTCATATTTAACCAAAAAAATATATAGATATTCTAAGAACTTGTTATTAACATTGCACTCACCTAAATCAGTAGTAAGCATCCACATATAGCTTGATACTGAATAAAATGTGGTTGAAACTTATTGTGTATATATATGGTAAGTATACTCTTTGATAATTTAATTTAATTAGTTTTGAAATATTCACATATTTTTACTGCTATCGTAGTCGCGTATTTCGCGTTGTTTTTTCATAATGAATATGATAAAATCATATGGGTTGGCATCTCTGCTACCCCACCGCCCCAGGATGATCAGAGGAAATAGAATGTTGACATGGGCAGAGGGTACACTATGTGCTTACTCATGTCTATTACCTACATGTGTTTCTGCATGTACAAGAGAATAACTATCCCTAGAAGCCCAAATTTGACAACGCTAACAAAATATTAACCTTCAATGAAAAATAAATTTCATGAAGCATCAGAGATATCAACACTATCTTCAAAAATTGGCTATAAAATGTCTGAGACAAAATAAGCTGACCAAATTATTTTTTTTCAAGAAAATGAGAGCTCTTACATGTTTATGATTCAATGTAAGAGGCTGCTCGCCAATCCAGCAAGTCTACAGTGTTATCGCTTAATAACACAACCTCGTCCTAAGTTGGTATAACTCCAATTTACCCAGTTAATTGAGAGACAATACCAGTGACACCTTACAAACATATTCAACCTTATATATGTCCGAATACACAGGAGAAAAACGCCAACCAAATATTAGTACACTGCAAAAAACAAATTTCATTACTGAACTCGTCTAGGACATGATAGTCATCCTCATAATTACAGTTTAAGTTGATTTATTTACTGATTTAAAACTGTTCTTTTAGCATAAAGATCCATCTACCAGTGAGCCCTCAAAGAGGATTATATATTGATGTTTTCTAGTCTCAAATAAGATGGTCTGGCTTAGGGATGCCTGCCATCACACATCAGAAAGCTTGGAGTGTTGCTCCTGAAATAAATCACCTGATTGTCTGGTCCTGACTTAATCCACAGGCCACCAACATATAGAGTGAGTGAGTGAGTTTGTAAGTGAGTTTGAGTCACTCAGTCAGTCAGTCAGTCAGTGAGAGAGCCAGTCAGTCAGTGAAGTTTTACACAATTCTTAGCAATATTCCAGCAACATCACTGTAGGGGACATCAGATATGGGCTTCACACATTGTATCCATATGGGGAATCGAACCAGGGCCTTTGGTATGATAAGCAAACATTTGAACCACTCGGCTACACTACCGCCCCATATAGCTGGAACATTGCTGAGTTTTGCATTGAAAAACAGTAGGCGGCCTGCGCCACCAAGTGTATGTTGACAGACATGTGATAATTTAATATCATTATCATGACAAATATCACTGAGGGGCTGCCTTTATTGCATTCTCATTCATGCAAAAATATAAATCCTTGTTTTTTAATTCCCATGAAACATTCTGATTACCCATGATTTTGAGTTACATCATGCATTTGTTCACGGCTATTCCCAACGTGGGTGATTTTTTGTGTAAAATGCTCACTTGAGAATAATCGTTCATACTGCACAGTCATATGGCTTCTGGTGAACCAACGCGTTACTAATTCGGTCCAAAATGATTAAAAAATTGAAATAAAACATCCTTAGACATGATGATTCAGCATTGTAACTGTATACATGTTGTTATTGTCTTACAACAGAGATCTAATGATCTAAACTTATCCGTGTTATCCTGAAATGATACTTACTGTCGGATGTGTTCTGAAGACATTTTGGTTTTATCATTTAAAACTGTTCTAATGATCTAATCACATCCAGTGTTATCATGAATGATACTACTGCAAGGGATGTGTTCTGAAGACATTCTATTCGGGCCCATTCGGTGGTCTTTCTCCCATTAGGTCATTCGATCATATTCGGGCCCATTCACCTATAATTCTCCCATTTGTACACTCGCCCCATTCTATTCGGGCCCATTGGCTCCTTTCTCCCATTCGTGCTTGTTAGTGCTATTTGTCCGTTCGTGCCATTCAGTTTTAGGCATCTTTAGACTGTTAATTGTTGAACTTGCTGTTAGGATATTGTAGTGTTAGAGGTTTGACAATTAGCAGTATTTAGAGGTTCATTCAAAGTTCATTTTCTTCATTTTTTCATCTTTAAGAGAATCACGTTTAGTTCCTTGTAAATCATCCATAGTTTTCTCACTGGTAATAGTTGTCACGTTTAGTTCCTTGTTTAGGCCAAAGGTAAGTTCCAAACTTTAGTTGATTAGGTTTTCAGTCACATAGCACAGCTCTGCACCATTGTTTATTTCCACTGCTCAACAGGATGACTGTATATATATATGTTAACAGGGACAGCTATATTCGTTAATGAAATACAAATCTTTTTAAGTTCAAGAATAAGATTAAAAAGGTAGAAATGTTTTATCAATCTGCAATCATTTTTAAGTTATAGTGAATACATCGCCCTTTGCAATTATCAATAGCCGATACAGTCAAATGAAACTGTACAATTGAAAACAATGGCCCATAAAACTTGTAAACAGTCCGTAAGCCCATGAAGAAAATTCCCATCCCAATAACTGATCAATCACTGGACTGTCTGGTCCAGACATGATTATTTACTGGTCACCATCCCACAACCACAACACAGATAAGTGCGG